GGGACACCCCCCACCTACAAAGACACACGTGTCGGCGTTGGGGGAGAGGGAATCCCCGTCCCCCTCGGGGGGCTCTGGCCCCTCTCTCCATCCTGTCCAGGATGGGGAGAGGGACTAGAGCCCCCCGAGGGGGACGGGGAGGGGGTCTGGAGGGGCTGCCCCCCCAGCATGGGACAGTGGCAGCAGATGGCTAAGCCCATTAGTGGCCATAATTGCATTGACGAGGCCGGGGAACGCAGGAACCCCGGCAACGGGGAACCTCCGGTGGGCTCCATGTCACCCCTGAGACCCGGCGCTAATTGCCAGCCCGGTAACGAGCTGAGAGGGTCCCCCCTCCATGCCCTCTCCAGCAGGTCCCTGTGCCCATGTTGGTTGCCCAAGGGCAGCCCCAGGGGGTCCGTACCCGGCGCTGCACAAAGACGACACAAACCACTCGGTGATTGTTTTGTGGGATTTTTAATGGAGAGACATCACCCCCCCGCCCCGCGTCCCCCTTAGGGTGCAGCAACCAACCCCGTGGGGTGACGTCCCGTGGCCACAGCCGGGGGGGGTGGGCTATGGCACTGTGGGACCCCGGGGGGGGTCAGTCCGTGTCCCCCAGCTCCAGCGGCTCCTCCCGGCGCTGCCCTGTGCCCGGTGGCCGCGGGGGCGGGAGCTGGTCCCAGCAGAGGCCGAGCGCAGGCGGCTGCGGCTCCTGCCGCTCCTGCAGCTCCTTGGCGCTGGCCGCCGGCGTCTGCACCTCGAAGGTCATCTCGAAGCGGCTGTAGTCCACGTGGAAGGCCCCCTTCTCCAGGGACATGCAGGGCTCAAAGCGGTACCCCCACAGGATCTCGTCCTCCGTGTAGGAGGTGCGGGCTTGGCACGTCATCCCTGCCCCGGGACATGGGCTGAGTGCGGCCAGGGACAACGGGGGGGCACGGGGACAATGGGGGGCTCCTGGGCACAGGGGCACCATCACTGGTTTCAGCCCTGGCCATCTCTTGCCAGGATGCTGGTCCCTGAGCCCAGCTGCACCCCACAGTGGCCACCTCTCCCCTTCCTGGGACCCCATGGTGGCCACCCATCCCCTCCTTTGGACCCCATCGTGGCCAACTGTCCCCTCCCACCCCCTGACCCCCCCTCACCTGTGGCCTCCACGATGCCCTCGAGGATGATGATGATCTCGAACTGCTCACGGCGCAGGGACTCGGCCGAGAGGTCCCAGAAGGGGCTGCGGTGGTCGATGACGTGGCAGACGATCTGGGGCTCCACCAGGAAGAGCCGGTCCTCCCCCGTGTCGTAGCCCAGGTTGAGCTCCGACTGCTCCAGCGGGATGAACTCCCCCTCCGCCGTCTGCCGCGACTTGATGAGCTTGGCGCGGATCTTGGCGTCCACCATGTGGCTGTCCCGCAGGTCCCCCACCCGGAACATCAGGCAGAGCTGCTCGTCCCGCCGGGAGATGACGCAGTTCTTGCTGAAGATGAGGGTCTGGGCCCGCTTCTTGGGGCGGGAGATCTTGACGAACATGCAGCCCACCATGAGGGCGTCGATCATGGAGCCCACGATGGACTGGGCCATGAGGAGGATGACGCCCTCGGCGCAGTCAGCCGTCACCATGCGGGCGCCGTAGCCGATGGTGCGCTGGCTCTCCACTGAGAAGAGCAGGGCCGAGACGAAGCCGTCCACGTTCTGGATGCAGGCCCTCCAGGAGGGGTCCCCCCGGTGCGCCACGTCCCCCCGCGCCCAGGCGTCCAGGAAGTAGACGGTGCCGAAGGCCACCCAGGTAAGGATGTAGCACATCATGAAGACGAAGAGGAACCAGCGGTACTTGAGGTCCACGATGGTGGTGAAGATGTCCGAGAGGAACCGCTTCTTCTCCTGGATGTTGCCCAGGTTCACCTGGCACTTGCCCACCTTGGTGACGTAGCGCTGCCGCTGCCGCTTGCCCCCCTGGGCCACCGGACCCTCCTCCTCCAGCAGCCGCCGCCGCCGCCCTGGGGGTCCCTCAGGGGTCCGGCTGCGGGTGCCGGGGAGCGGGGGCCAGCGGGTGGCCGGTGGGCAGTGGGGGGGGTCACCGGGTCGGTGCAGGGGGGCCGGGGAGGGCTCCCCACCTCCCTTGGGTGAGGAGGGGTGGTTTGGCATCGGGGGGCTCCTCTCCTCCCCCGGGGGGGTCGGGGGCTCGTGCTGCGGG